GAAAAGAAAACGTAATGATCCATGTTGAATGTATTCGATTCCAGTACATGTGGGTGATGCCATCGAGTAGCGCGAGATGCGCGCAACTTCCGCGAGCGGCGGACAAGGTGCCATACTACGCGGCGCTGAAAAAATTTCGCGATTACTTGAACGGCACGATCTCTCATCTGGACGAGTCGGATATAGTGTTCGCCGACGCGAAGTTGAAGAAGAAGGAGCAAGAGGCGATCGAGGATAAGAAGCCCGCGTATTGCGAGGAGTTGACCAACGATGGGGAGAGCAGGATCGGTGAGATGAACGGTATCAAGCACGATTCTCAGATACCCGGGAAGAAGAAGAGGGGCAGGCCGAAGAAGATCAAGAATCCGGAAGATCAACCGCCCCCCGACCCCGAAAAATTAGACGCGAACGGGGAGGTGATAAAGAAGCGGCGCGGACGGCCGAAAAAGATTCACCAACAGCAGAAGCAACAGGAGCGGGAAATGAGGGAGAGGGAGCACCAGCAGCAACAGCATCAACAGCAGCACCCGGGTATGGGCCATCTCGGGGACGGTTACGGGGTGGTGCCCAACTGTTTCTCACCGCCGAAGACGTTCGCGCACATGGCCCCGTATCCCCAGCCGATCAACGATTCCGGATATTACGGTCAAACGTTGAACGACAGCCCGTACAGTATAAACGCGAAACAAAGCCCGGTACACTTGCAACACTACAGCCAAAGTCCAAAGTCGATGTCGCTCTCGTTCACCCATTCCGATCTGTCCTCGGAGATAAACACGGCCATCTCCTCGGAGAACAACTTGGAACCGTCGCCGTTGACCTCGCCGAGCGTGGAACACCCAGACTTCGAGCCACCGACGAGTATATCCCAGCAAAATATGAGCAACGATCATCGCCAGTACAATCCGGCCGGGAACCCGGAGAGCACGGGGCATCACGGCAGCCCGGGGACACCGTCCCACCCGAGTTACACGAGTTACATGGGCTATCACGAGCAAACGTCCGAGCCCCACAATCCTCATCCCCACCAAACGACGCCAACACCGTTGAGCCAAACCACCGACGAACATTCGCATCACTCCCACCCGACACCACCGCACACGCATCCTCACACGCCGACTCACGCCTCCATGTCTCCCCACCACCATCCGCACGAGCAGTACGCGGCCATGAAGAGGAGCGGGGGGGGAGGGCAGGACGTTGCCTCGAAAAGTTTAAGCGATCTCGAATCTCTAGTCGATCAGATACCGAGCATAGCCGATGGTGGTAGCCAACGTCTCCAGCACACCCATCCCGGGATGGGATCCGACGATGGGTCCCTCGCGGAGAAAATGGAAGCCCATCACCAGTCCTATCTGTCCGGATTTTCGGGCATGCCGAACGCGGGCATGTCCAACTACAGCCCTCCTTTGGCGCCCGCCGGTGCTATTTATCCAACTTCGTTGCATCACTCGCCCAACGACGGTTACGGTTCCCTTTACGGCATGAACGGGCGTCAACATCAAGATTCGCAACAGCAGCAGCAGCAACAACAGCAGCAACAGCAGCAGCAACAGCATCAACAGCAGCAGCAGCAGCAACAGCAGCAGCAACAACAGCATAGCAAATCTTACACGGTGGAGAATCTAGCGTCTAGCAATTACACGCCGAGCATGAGCCACGGGCATCCCGGTAATTCGTATCCGAATATTATTCCTGGACCTCATTATCCCGTGCCAATGGGATCGACGAACGGGTATCTTTTCGGTGGCCTTGAGTCAAGCTTGATGCAACGAACCTACGGGATGAGCGGTATGAGCGGTATGGGGGGAATGCATCCATCCCTCGGTCATATGGCCAATCCTTATTCCTACAATGGTTCGTACTCTAGTTCCTTCGACGCCTATCCGGCCCCACCGGCTGGGATTCACGCGCCCAGCGCCAATTATCCCGGCGGTTACACGAGCGTTGGCACCACAACGCCAGGTACTTCGCCAGGCACGACGCCACCGTCTTACCTCCCTTCCCATCACAGACCGTCGGTCGACCTCGCTTACGATGGTGTATGATAATCGATGTAAAACTATTCCACGTACAAACGCGCCGCTCACACACACACAGATACACACAAACACATACACAACAAAGAACACAGAGGCACGTACGCATAGTGGCCACACGAAATACTGGACATACGAATAGACACACACACACACACACACATATACACAACACATAGACACGCGCTTACGCTCACGCTCTCACTTCATTCGTATCTGCGCGTACCTGCTCGCGCGCGCGTGTCAATCCATAAAATCAGGCACACAAAGGTATGCACAGGCAACAGACGGAGAGACGGACGGACGGACAAACAGACGGGCAACAAGCAAACGATTCGAGCGCTACGTTTATCTTTTCTACGTATTTTTACACAGTTTAGGATCCGCCGGAACAATCGCCTCCTTCTGGCGTGACTTGGTACTGCGATTTGCGCGCGCATTTTCTCTTCCCAATCCTTCCTTCTTTCACCCGTTAATCTCTCTTTCTCTCCAACTCCTTCTTTCACTTCTCGATCCGCCCTTTCGATTTTCCCTCCGTTCTCTTTATATCCACGGCTCGATTAACTGTTACCTAGATGAGTACCTATATGCCGCGAGTAGCAACGAGCGCACGGTTCGAAATTGCGTTGAAAAGTGGTGTGAAAGGGGAAGAAGAAGGGAATAAAGCGAAGAAACGAACGGCACGTGCTACGAAATCAGTTGATATTATTGTATGGAAACGCGTTAATAATTCGAAAGATGGCGTGCTCGTCGATATGCTATTCGTCTCTGTTCGCGGTGATCGCGCATCGATCCTCGATAATGGAAAATGTTCAACGTTGATCGCTTTTCTTCATCGTTTTCCGACCTTACTGTTACACGCTTTCGTTATTGTTGACAATTATTCGGATGTTTCGCTTTGTAATGGCGAGCATGTGCGATCTGTTGCTGTTTCAACGAATCGGTATACATTTCTTTCCGAACGTGACTCGTTACAACTTGGAAAATTGACCGTACACGTACATGTATATGTACTCTTTATTGTTATTTTATCCTTTTCCCGTTCCTTTCGTTGTTTCGAGAAAAGGTACGTAGTTGGTTAGTTTGTACACGACGAATCGTTTACATCACGTTATTAGCTGTAATCGATGTATCCACAAGTGAGATTGCTATTTGATAAGCGGTAGCGTTCGACTTTTGTTCGAGCATTTTTTACAACCCAATGGACAAAATATATCCGAATTGATGGAATATGTATACGATACGATACGATACATAGTGGTACAGTTTGCGATTGGAACATTGACCGATATAATAATCGTCAGCGCTCTACGATCGGAACTCGAAAAATCACGAAAGTCGATCGATCGATCGAGAGACGAGAGGGATACGATACGTTCGATGATATTCCGAAAAATTTGGAAATATTTTTAGTTCGTGGTGTAAACAAATGCGATGTCGTTTTTTCGACCGCTGCATCGTATACACATAAGTATATGCGTGTGTTATACAGTGTATGATACGTTACGTCAAAACAATAACACGTGTACGCGTGGGCACATGATTAATTGAAAACTTTATATGTTTAATGCGAATCTAGTCAATTCGATTCGTTGAATCGTGGCGGTTTATCGCAATCGACCGAGCAATTTTGCACGCGGTTTAAATTGAAAAAGAAAACTAATAAATGGAATGGATCGTGATTAAAATTAGTCGATCGTGGACAAAGTCGATTTTAAATTAAATTCCAAAATATTAATTGTAATCTTGCGGAACGCTTCTAAATTCTATATGCGTTGTTTTTTTTTTTCTCTCCTCCGTCTTTGTTGTACGATTTAGAGAAACAAATTTGCTTGACTCGCTTCCGTTAGAAGAAACTGTTCCATCTAACGGGCAAGAAGCGACGGATCATAACCTATACGTACGTACACGGTATAGTATAGACTTACCAGTAGTATACTTACCAGATATAGCATGGAAGAATAAACGCTCACGATCGACGATCATCTTTTGAAATTTGTCGTCTCTTAGCTCCTACATCTACGTATATGTACAGTAGACGTATTCCGTTGCGTGTACACGTGATTGTGCCACAGGATGGAAACGACTCGATGCAACCATGATAATTTTATGATAACATGTTTCGATTGCATCGTTTTTATCGTAACATATACGGAACGAATGATCCAAGATCGATCGACCAAGCTCTTCCAGATAGATTTATGTCGTAATTTTTCTTCTAATTCGAAGAAATGTGTATAGAGAGAAATGTATTGGAAAAAAAAAGAAAATGGCGGGAAGGATGGAAAGATTGGGGGGAAAATCCGAAAGATCGATCTGTTTGTAGATTTTTTAATATGGAATGGAAAGAAATCGAAAATGGAAATGGAAGAGAGATGGGCCGCGAATAAAATCTCGATAGTCGATTCGATAGACATCCTCGCTTTCGTACCTCGCACTCGCTACAGCCATAGCCATAACCGTTCTCGTTGCAATTTCTTTATCGGTTAATGCGTATCGGTTAATCGTTGACTATTGACGTCGTTGTGAAATATCATGCGTTACCGTGATTTTTATAGTTATCGCGTTATGTTGTTTCTCGTTTAATTGTATATTTCATTGCCGCATTTCGAGCAATCGAGAATTACAGTGTTTATCGATACACGATCACGAACAGTCGATATAGATGTATGCTGTAACCGACATCTTCTTTTGTCGCTAATCAACGCTGTAAAATTACGCATCTAGCATGATCTACATGCAAAGAAATAAATATATGCACGCGTACGTACGTATACGCGAACGTACCTACATAACAAAATACATAAATATGTATAAGTATACACACGTGTACGCGTCGCGTGCCTATACTTATAGGATACACATACAAAGTATAAATATTATATATTGACTATCTACGATAAGCGAGAAACATTTATCGAGTAATCACATAGGATGTGTTGAAACATTTAAAATGATGCACAGGGTATAGATGAGAAAATCGTTGATATAATAACTGATGTCTATATAATGAATGTTTCTTTTGTTCTATCGGCCTCAAGGACACAAAGCGCGTACGATCGACAATTAATCTATGGTAGATGTTTTTCAGAATTCATTCCGATTCAAAAAGGACGGTTCTAGTATAAGTGTCGTCGGTGTTAATCGTTCGTCGATAATGAAACGAAGAAGAAAAAAGAAGGAAAGAGAAACAGGGAAACGGAAATGAATGTATGCCGTGCCGAACGGAACGAACCATCGCTGCGAATTAATCGATCCTTTCGATTAATCGAATCAATCGATTGTAAATTGATCGCTAAGAATTAAGTATTAAGTATAAATATATTATACAGATTTAAGTGGTTTCGCTGTTGATCGTATCGAAATAATAATAATAATAATAATAATATTAATAATAATAATAATTATAATAATAATAATAATAATAATTATAATTATAATAATAATAATAATATAATAGTAATAATAAATATTAATAGTAAAGATAAATAATAATAATAACAAAATAATAATAATAATAATAATAATAATAATAACAATAATGATGATAAAAATAATAATAAAATCAGAAAAAGAAGAAAATCGAAGAAAAGAGAGGAAAAAAATTCGAGCGTAAGCGAGTAAGAGAGCTTGGGCCAAAACCGGCCTCTGACATATTTTTTAATCGCTTGTGGAACCTCTATTATTCTACCTTTTAAACTTAACGGTGTGAATGTCCAGCTGACCGACCGATCGATCGATCGATCGACCGACCGATCTGTCGATTCGTGGCCGAAACAGTAATCGACCGCTCGCTCGCTCGCTTTTACCTTAACCACTTCTCTGTCACAATTCTCATTATCAGCATCGTATCGATCGCTCGGATTATCGAGATGTGTTCTATATCGACCAACAATATACTTGCTGAGTATTTATAGCTGTTCGTACAACTCGGAAAAGAAGGGCAACGCATCTTTCATTATTCGCAATTTTTATTTCGTTTTAACATATTTTGCCCTTCTCTTCCTTTCTTTCACTTGTTAGATCGATTATTTCTTGCTTCCAAATTGATTCTCGTCAACCTGCCAAATGTTTCATCGAGAACCATACTTGTTTTATTTTTTTCTTTTTTTTCTTTTTTTTTTTTATTAATTTTTACTCTTTTTTTTTCTTCTTTCTTTTACATTTCTATATTTTACTCTTTCATCTTTCATATTTTGTTCATCTTCCTTTATTAGATCGAGATCACACGAACAAATCAATGTCGAAAACGTTTCGTTTGGATTATTTACACGTGTGCAAAATTTATATATAACTTATGCATAATTCTCAATCAAAAATAAAAAGAAAAAAAAACAAACCAGAAAAGAAATAAAAAAGAAGAAAAAAAAGATTTGATCGTCTGTTCGATCGATGAGAAAGAAAGCAAAATCAATTCGGCATAGACCTTTTCTTGTCACTTTCTCTTATAATATAAATTTTTACGCCTTTTTATTGAAAATTTTTCCAATAATCAAAAATTAATTATTGACGATTAAAGAATATCATTAAAGATTCGAGTCGCTTATATTTTTATATATGATCGTTCGAACGAACAAAATAACGATAATACTGTACCATATGTGTTTACAATTGAAAAAGTGTTCAAATACGCTATGAATAAAATGAGCTCGATTGTCTCAATTTTAATTAAATGCATGCTATTCTTTCGCTTCTATGAATTTGAAACATCATTACTGGTTGTTCGTTCGTTCGTTCGTGATGTTCAAGATACGTGATAAATTCTATCTGCTTCTCTAATATTCGTCCGAAGGAACAAATCGATGTATTTACGCTTAACGATCTCATGACCGTGTAGCATAGCTGGATTCGTAATTCTAAATGTGCGTTGAATGTTACATTATTAATCTACCTTGGAAATCGGTCGGTAAACTAAACTGTATTCAAAGAGTGCATTGGTTATCCAACGATTTATTTTTTACCAACCGTGCACATTTCGATTGCTGATTCTTCGATCGAATTTGCGATCGTTTCCTTATTATCAATAAATGATACGTTTTTTTCCTTAAAACAAGGAATTTTCTCTAAAATACGTATCTCTTTTGCCATTTGTCTTTTCTTTAAGGAAAAAAAAAAAAAAAAAAAAAAANAAAAAAAAAAAAAAATGTACAATATATATTCAATTATCGATATCGAATTCCTCAAATTAATTAATTATAAATGAATAATTTATTCAGTTTGCGATATTAATCTCTATTGATATATTTATTCTTGTAGACAAGAAAAAGAAGGATAGCAGAAAAAACTATTTACATGTTTATCAAAATTATTTAAAAATATACAAGAAAAAAATTTAAAATTTAAAATTAATTTTATTCTTATATTTGATGTATTACGCTTAACATTGAATTATGATATTGCAATCATAAGAATGAATAATTTGCAATTAAAAAAAAATGCACGATATAAGAATTGTGTATTTTGTACAAAAATATGATTCAATGTTATTATATATATTTATAAATTACATATATATAAAATTAATTTATATACAAAAATTTGCATATGTTAAATTACACAACATTTACATATAAAATTAATTCTAATTGATATCTCGTGTTGTCTCGACTCTATTTTGACAGAATTTACATATGAAATTTAATTTATGATATTAAAGCTTTTTATTAAAAGCATATTTTTAATGATCTATTGTCATTTTGTTAGAATTCTATTTAATCTTTTCAACGATCATATTGCAATCCATTTCGTTGTTACTGTTCAAATATAATTATAACAATATTATCGAAGATCAGTGTCGCGCAAAACTGTCATTGATGAAAAAAAAAAAATGCCGAAATCGCCAGTATGCGTTAAATTGTGTGGTATGTGAATGAATGAACTCGCATTATGCAATCCTTCTTGTAAATTTTAAATATAACGAATCCTGTGAAAACATTTTTCTCTTTTTGGGCTCAATTTACCTGAGTCATTGGCAGTTCGTGTCAAAAAATAAATTGATTCGTTAAAAGAAGATTCGTTCTGTGTTCATTATTTTAAGATAATCGTGTATCTTATATTAAAAAAAACCTAAATTACGAAGAACATTAAAAATATACAAATTTTTTATTTAATTGATATTTCTATATCAATCATACTTTAAAAATATTCGTTCATATGTTGTTTAAAAATATTATTATAAATTTGTTGAAAGAATTTTTACGATAAATCTTTAATACGAAAAAAATTCTGCCATCTATCGAGGAATTCTAGAAATATATATTTTCATGGTTTATCTATACATTATTTAGTTCATGCTTCGCAAAACGCAAAGTGTGGGTTAATTGTGTTTATCAGTATCTGTAATTATAATTAGAATTTATAATGCCGTTGGAAAATTTGGAAGAAGAGGGTTTAGAGAAAAATCCCAATTTGGAATTGGCCCAAACAAAATTTTTATTAAGTCTGCCGGAACATAAGGATGATCCATATTTAAAGAACAAACTGTTAGATGCCATTAAAGCAGAAAGTGAGATTGCACTTTTTACATTTAAGTTAATTATTTCATTTTATTTATATAATATAAAATTTCAATAACAAATTAAATATTCGATATTTAAAATTTAATTGGTATTTTTATATAAACAGAAACTAAAGGAATTGCCATAATATTTATTTTAACCTTATTTCTTTTTATTATTAATCATTTCTTTCATATAGTTTTAATGCAATAATTTTCTTTTTCTTTCTTTTCTTTTATTAATATATATATATATTCATTATTCATTATTAGACAATCATATTTTTCATTATTATTCTTCATTTTCAAATTTTAAATCATATATTTATAAATATGTAATATTATATTATTAGAATTATTATTAAAATGATAACTAATAAGATATATGTTAATATTTTAATATTGTTTTAAAATATATAATTATTTTTTTTTAGATATGGCTCCATTTTATGAAGAAGTTTGTAAAGATTTGAATTGGCCGGTCGATGATACTCTTTTAACTTCTATGAAAACTAAGAATATGGAACAGTTGAAAGAATTAGATGATGCAATTGAAGATGCCGAAAAGAATTTAGGTGAAATGGAAGTGAGAGAAGCCAATCTTAAAAAATCAGAACATTTATGTAGAATAGGTGATAAGGAAGGTTCCATTTCTGCATTTAAAAAAACTTATGATAAAACTGTATCATTAGGACATAGATTAGATATTGTATTTCATAATATTAGAATTGGATTATTTTATTTAGATCATGATCATGTTACAAGAAACATAGAAAAAGCTAAAAGGTACATATATATAAATTTGAAAAAATTACTGATTCAATAAAATAATATATCTTAGTTACAACATCATATAAATATTACCTTTTTTATTTTAGTTTAATAGAAGAAGGTGGTGATTGGGATAGACGAAATCGTTTAAAGGTATATCAAGGAACATATTGTATAGCTGTTCGCGATTTCAAAGAAGCTGCAAATTTCTTTTTGGATACAATTAGCACATTCACTAGTTATGAGCTTATGGATTATAATACGTTCGTGAGATACACCGTATATTTAAGTATGATAAGTTTACCTAGGAATGAACTTAGAGATAAGATTATCAAAGGTTCAGAAATTTTGGAAGTGCTTCATAGTAATCCAGATGTCAAGGATTATTTATTTTCTTTATATAATTGTCAATATGCTGATTTTTTTAAAAATTTAGGTATTAAGATAATTTTTTAAGTATTAAAATTTTTTAAATTAATATATTATTTTATTCTAATATTTGAATATATTTTCAGCACATGTCGAAGGTTTATTACGTAGAGATTACTTAATTTTTCCGCATTACCGATATTATGTTAGAGAAATGCGTATTCTCGCTTATACACAACTTCTAGAATCTTATAGATCTTTAACGCTTCAGTATATGGCTGAAGCATTTGGTGTTACAGTAGAATACATTGATCAGTAAGTTTTGCAATAATTTTTGTTTCTCTTATTCTATATATTTAGTTATTATATATTTAATATATTTTATTTTAATTATTTTTTACAGAGAATTATCACGTTTTATTGCTGCTGGAAGATTGCATTGTAAAGTTGATCGAGTTGGTGGTGTAGTTGAAACTAATAGACCAGATAGTAAAAATTGGCAATATCAAGCTATGGTTAAACAAGGTGATTTGCTACTTAATAGGGTTCAAAAGTTATCGCGTGTTATTAATATTTAAGTAAATGGAGAATAAATCATAATATCATATTTTAACATCTACTTATTGTCTGATGTGTTCTTGAAGTATTTTATTATTTTACCCTCTTAATTTTGTATCAAAGATTTAATATAATTTCCGATTTTTACAATAGAAATATACATCTTAAATGTCATCTCTGACAAATTCTGATTTTAATTATCCTATCTTTCCAAATTTTTAACGATTTTTTGATTTGAAACAATTTACAATCGTTCTTCAAAAGATGACACTGATTCTTTTTTTTTGAATATTAACTATATTAACTATTCTTTGATATTAATCAATAATATATTTTATAATTTCCACTATTATTTGTATTCAAAATATAAAATTATAATATATTTGACAATATTTAAAGTAAGTCTTTTTTTTATAAATTTGTAAGTAATGTTAATTTTTTTATCAAAATATTTGTAAATATATTTTTATAATCTATATAAAATATAAAAAAGATTATATTTAAATTTATATATTGAACAAATTCAATAAAATATACGTACACACACACACACATATATATATATATATATATATATATATATATATATATATATATAATATAT